TGGGTTTCTCGTTATGTGGGAAAATGAAATAAAACCAATAAATAAAATAATATTAATAAAGAATTAAAAAAAATTAATTAATTAATTTTCCCATGATGTAAGTTATAAAGAGACTGGAAAGGGTTTCTGATCACATGTACAATTTGATGACCCCCACTTCTGGAAAGGGCAGGACCTTTCACTTTCCACTTTCCAATGAGATTATTTTGACAAAGTAGAATCTTGGCCATCCCAACTCAGCATGAGACTAACTTGAACTTGATCATCTTTACCCATTCTTATCCTTACTTCCCATAAATAATTTTTGAACTGAAAAGGAAAACGAACATACTCAAGAGACATTTAACTTTGTTTCAATACAGTCAACATAAAAGTAATAAACGTCTGTAAGAGTAACTAAAGTATGCTTCTTTTATACTGTGTTTATAAAGGGTGATCCAATAACTTGGACCAATTTTAATGTGAATTAAGTTTAAGCGTCTAATGATTTTTTTCTTTTTCTTTCAGATTTGGTGGACATTTGGGCGTTATTATTTTTCACACATGACTTAAATAACATGATCCAATAGAGAAATAAATAAATTTTCACCAATAACACATGATTTATTTACTGCTGACTTTGATCCGTCTTAATGAAACACCCTTATATATAATCCGTCTTAATGAAACAATCTTTATATTGAACATGTACCTTCACCTAAATAATACAAACAAAACCCACTACCTTGTTAATGTCCACAGTTATAATGATAATAAAAATCATAATAAAGGCCAGTTACTTGTTTTCCCAAGAATACCATCTTATAGGGTGGCTAGACAATCCCTATTTCAGATGCTTGCTCAGGTACATTTGTATTTATTCAACATGCACAGAGCCTAAACTTGTGGTTTGTACTGCGACTAAGCTGAGCAGATCCTGGTTTGTTAGGCACTTTGCAAAAGACTCTCATGTTGGGATCGCCTCAGTTAAGTCAATAACATCAAGAAGTTACCTTCCTAACAAATCGACCATGGTGAGATTTGAACCCGTGTCTCATGGCTAGAAAGTGAATGTTCTAATCACTCAGCCATATGCTTATCATTTATTTATACATTTTTTATTATTCATTGAATTTTAGCAAACAATTTTTTTTTATCTTCCACCCTTTAAAATTTGTGTTTTCATATTATATTTTATCATCTGTTTTCTTTCTCTCCTTCAGTCATCTATTATCGCATAAACAGATGAGAAAAGACGCAGCAGAAAGCGAGAGGGAGGAGGGGAAAGGATCACATATCAGCTAAGAAGAAAAAAAAAGATACAAGTATTCCATTTCAACTTGGTTTGTTCCTGGGTAGGGGACCCAGAGACCAAGACAGAGGCAGGGTTAGGGTTTGAGAGGGAGATTTTTATATAGAGCATCTGAGTAAGAAGAGACATTTTCAAGGCTGTCCTACTGTAGCTGACTGCCTTCCGTCTGCTGATTCTTGATTTCCTGGCATGTCTCTGATATTATTTTGTTTTCTTTTGCCACAGGAATTAACCTTCAGAAATATCTCAGAAGAAAAGAATTCCATGCTAAAGTTAAGCAACATTATGTCTGTTCATATAAGTTATGCCAACATTTTACCTACTGTTTTGTAAAGGGCGGGCACAATCTGTTCGGATTGATAGTACAAATTTAAGATGAAAATGTCTCAGAAAAAAAACTAAGCCATTACAAAGACTCTCATCACAACCAACTTAAAAAAAAATGTTAAATAGCATTTGCTAGATTTAAAAATTGTTAACAATTAAAATATTAAAAATAAAAAAATTAAAATATTAAAAATAATTAAAATATTGAAAAATAATTAAAATATTTAAAAAATGATTGAAATATTTAAAAAAATTTTACAAAATAATAAAAATATTGAAAAAATGATGAAAATATTAAAAAAAAAATATTTTTAAAAATTAAAAAATGATTAAAAACATAATAAAAATATCAATAAAAATAAAAAAATTGATTAAAATATTAAAAAATAATGAAACTAATTTAATTATTGAAAATTATTCAATATTTCATTGAATTTTAGAAATATTGACTTTAAATTTACTATAGTTTCACTCTTATTTTCTGATAATGTCGTATATGGTCATCCATACTTATAAATATCAGTACGTTTATACACAAAAAAAAATTCAAAACTCTTAAAAATATTACAGTTTGATGATTTGCATTCAGCTTTTCATTTCATGATTAGCAAATATAGTTTTCATTTAATAATAATATCATCTAAAAAAGTGGACATTAATACAATTTTAAAAGATTTAAAACTTAATAAATTTTTCTAATTAAAATTTTTAAAAATGAGAACAATTCTTGTAAAAATTCATTATTCATCAAAAAAATTACCTTGGGTGGGGCAGAAGAGATAGTGTCATGCCTCTTTTTCCATATGAAAATGAATGTAACTGACTATGCTGGAATTTGAACTCAGCTCAACAACTCCATGCTCCATGATGAGAGTTGAAGCCTGGATAAAAAGGCCATTATTTCTCATGGGGATTTTCTAGGCAGGCATCTCACTTGGGAGATTGGCAATTCTACCAACTATTAGCCATATAAATGGGAGAATATTGAGACAAGGGTGATTATTAAACATTGGTAATGAAAATGCAGTAACGGAGACAAACAGTGGGGGTTAAAGTCCAGAACTTTTCTACCCCCTCCCCAGGTTTAAAAAATATCCTATCCTTTCCTCCCAACTAAAGTTTTTTTTTTTTGCATGTTTCCATTTTTGACACTAAAGTAACCAAAAAAAATTTAAAAAAAAAAAAATGATTCTATTTGGATAGTTTCAGAAAACAGATCCATAGGTAATTAGTATTTCATCACCTAAGATTAAAAATATTCTATCTGCAATTTTTGTTTTTCTTTCTCTCTGCAACAATCTATATAAATACTTAAGTTTCATAAAAGAATTCGGTTAATTTGCAGATTAGGACCCACACTCAGTTTGCAATAAAAATTTCCCAAATACTTACATTTAGGTGTAAATGTTCATGCTTCATTCGAAAATGAATAAATTTGATAAAATCTACCATTTTGGAGTTATTGACAGTAAAAGTTCGGATTCATTTTCATCGTTGGTGGCAGCCATTAATGGCGTTCTTTGCATACATTCGCTGTGGAAAGCTAAGTGCACAAGAATGTAGTTAATGGCCTTTTTTTTTTTACTAATCTTACTTCTCTCAATTACTGTTTAAGAGAACTATATTGTGTGTGCAAAAATCAAGACAAGTGAATATTCCAATCATAACTATTTCACAGAATAGACAGAATTGCAATGAAATTATAGGGCTGACTGGGCTCTTAGCCTTAGTAGGTAACCAGTCTACAAGAAGGACAATAACTGATTTAAAATCACCCTGAAGAGGAATGAGTTCAAGCAAGCTATCTTGCCCTAGATACACCACTTTTGCTATAGCTGCAGTACATGTGGTGACCCAACAAGTTTAGTAGGTTACAGTACACTTAATTGTGATTATATTTAAGGGCTTTATGAAAGGCTAAATAAACAATCTCATAAACAGTGTTTAAAATTCTCTTATATATGATTAGGTTTTATTAAAATTCTAGTCATCGCTTTTTAAAACAATAAACATTGCCAAGAAGTGAAGCTAGTTAAAATAATAGCAGAGTCCAGGAAAAAACCATCTTTCTCAAACACCGATTTTTTGCGGGTCTGTAGGTTAAACATTGCCCTTCAAACCATTTAAATGTGAAATGACCAAATATTTACCAATTCCTGAACTGAATTTACCAAGAATGAGAGTTAAAGAATTTTCACTGCTTCCCTCGGAGATTAAAAAAAAAACATAAAAAATATCCTCCTACATTTTTTTTTCTGTAAAGAACAACCAGTACTAGGCCTGGGGTGGGCACTTGAGGTAGAGGGTTATGTTTAGGGGCAGTTTATACAGATAGGAAGGGAAGATAATGGTTAACTCTAGACTTGAACAGAGGTTAAGATTGTAGTGATCAAGGGAAACATTGTCTTGGGCGTCTGTTCTACAGAGCGCAGCGGTTCACAGGAAGAAGCTAATTGAGTGGAACTTACTTCTCACCAATGGAATACGGAAGGAATGTGGGTCGTTTGCTACAATATACATGGCATGGCAGGTCCTTGCTGTGAAGGTTAGAACTGGTGGAATCAACGAATGCGGTTCGTCTGAGCACTTTCTATGGAAGTAGTGATAGAGCAGTGTGAGACTCACCACACCCACCTGTGTGAGAGAGGTTGGAGGGTGGAAAATAATTTGCCACCCACAAGGGCTTGGAGATGCTTTTGAAATCTATTGAGACTGGAAAGTGAAGGCAGGGCAGCACATGGCCAAATATGGCAATGGTACTCCATTCTCGGCCTGATCTGGTTCTTGTAAAAGTAGAGGATAGAAGGAGGAGTCAGTTACTTACTGGAGCGGTACGGGGGGAGCCAACCATTTTACCTTCATCTTTAGCAATGGATTATATGTATGAGTTCCACTTCAGGCCAGGTGTGAGTTTGAGGCCCAATAGTCTCTCAAGGCGCAGTGCCTCCCTCAGAGGACATCCATTCATCATGACTAGTGGTAGTTCAGGACAACAGAATGAGAAGTATCTAATTCCTTAGAATGAATAAAGTATTCAGCTCAAAAATTCCCAGAATGTTCCCCAATATGACAAACGCTGCTCCCCAACCCCAAAGTTCAGTACAACAGTTGAAATGGTATAGCAACCACCCCCACCTCCTTGAAGTACAGTACAACAGTTGAAATGGTATGACAACCACCCCCACCTCCTTGAAGTTCAGTACAACAGTTGAAATGATATGACAACCACCTCCACACCCTGAAGTTCAGTACAACAGTTGAAATGGTATGACAATCAAGATACTAGTTTGAATAAATCATTCTGCCTGTGTTGGTTATTATTTCTGTAGAGAAACAGACATGTGCACCAAATTTGTCATTTTTAATTCAATCTGGAGATTACTTTAGAATTCCACTTACTTAATTGCATTTCCTTGGCACTTGACTTCGGTGTTGCAATGTTAGAACCAATATCTTGAAGAACACATTGGACCTGCAAAGGATACAAGCACAAACGGAATTATGATGAATTTGTTTTCAACATTATATATCTTGGAGTGATTTTCAATTCATTTTTTTTTCACTAATTTTTCACATAATACAAGGCCCAAGAACCATTCAAGGTAGAGGATTACTGATTGAGGTTGTTGGATGATTATAAGAGATGATAAGTGAAATTTATGAGGATATGCATAAAAGGTAATGTTTAACTTCGGACATGAAAAGATCAAGATTATAGTGATTGAAGGAGCATCCTATCAGAAGACTGTTCTTAGGCAGAAGCTGTCTGGATGGAACTTCTTCCTTACAAATGGAATATGAAGGAAATGAGGATGATTCAACTCTGTGCATTTGGCCTGGCATAACTTGCGAACATCTGAACTGGTGGAACAAAGTGTAGGGATACAAAAAGGGAATTATCTGCCCTTGGTGGAGATGAAGTCACACGATGACCACTTCGTGATGTCACTTCATACAGTGAAGAAAGTGGTTAGTCATATAGTCAGTTGGAGTCAAACAGAGTTGTTACTTTTTAGCCGTGACAGACTGAGGCTAAATCTACCTGCTCCAGCATGTGGTAACATTTCTCACTGGGAATATATCTTCCCAAGATATAGAAAGAAACTCTCTGACACATAGTCCTCAATTTGGAAAAACCCAAAACTAACCAGTTCCTGCTCATGAAATATGTCCTCACTTGGGACACAGTAGATGAATCCAGCCCACTTGAATCTGGAGTCCTAAACATGTCTTCTCCAGAAACACAGAAGAATCTCCATATTATATGTAAGACTCTATCATTTTGTTCTCCTGTAATTCTGCTTGCTGTGCAGATATGTTATATGTTCTCTGTGTCAGACACATGTAAATATGTATAAATATTTTTTGTGTATGACTTAGCATTATAAAACTCTCTCTCTGAGAACAAATCATGTTTGTCATTTCTTTTCCTTTCAGCCATTCCATTCATGAAGTGCAGTGTTATAACAGAAATATAATGCCCACAATGGGGGGAATACAAATGGGAGAATAAAACTTTCTTCCATAGCATTCCCATTACAAGAAATGTAGCATGTCACAATAATTTCCATGGGAATAGCAATAGAGTACAGAATGGCTTGCAACATTTCATCTGTGGGGAAGCAGTTGCCAGGCAGAAAATAATTAATCAGCTCTAAGGCTATCAAAACTGGAAAAGGAGAACTGGACACTTCCAGTCCTGATATGGCAGCAATACTCCATTTTTATTCTGATCTGTTGTAAAAATAAAGCATGGCAAGAAGAGTCAGATACTTTCTGGAGTGGTACAAGAAACTGACCCTTTTTCCAGCATCTTTAGTGACGGATCATATAGATGAGTTCCACTTGAAATCAGGGATGAACTTCAGTCCCAATAGGCATTCAAGGCAAGGAGCTTCCTTGAGTGAAAAATCATTCATCATTATGATCATCATTTTGACCCTGTTTTGTCCTTGTTAACTCACTTTCTAACTGATTTGTTCATGACTTTTACTCAATGACACTAGCATTTATAAAGAACAAAAAATAAAACAACACAAAAATGAACATAAAATATGGACAAAATTGATCAATATATATTACATTGTTTTATAAATTGGTTGAAAAATTGTATAAAAAAATGATTTTACATTTTACATCCCTAAGCTAGGTCAAAATTATATGGACTAACTCATAAATAATAACATATCTTCTATTCAACGGTCAGCCATCCAATAAAAAACGACACATGCACAAAATAATGCTTTTTATTTCCCACAACTACAAAAAAAAAAGTTCAGTTTTATTTTATTTTCTTTATTTTTATTGAGAAAAGACTAGCATCGAGATCTCATCAATTTATACTTGAGCTGACTAGATGGAACCATAAATTCTAGACTAACAGTTTCTTTTTCTCACACTTCTCACTTGTGGAACTCCCTTCCAGCTCTATGCTTTCCAACTTTAATATGCAAAAATGATTTTAAAAACCCCTCCTGATTACTCTTCTTTTGTTTTCACTCATTAGTAGTATTTCTGTTCCTAATTCTTCTATACCCTGTAAGCCCTTGTATCTTAGTGGCTTTATTGCCTTGTTTGGGATGATTTTAGTTAAAAGAAATAACAAAATAAAGTACAAATGCTCATTGATATGATTTAAATGTCTGCTTTCTCAAACCATAACCCATTTTTATTTAACACTTAATTAAAACTAAATTATTAATTTATTAATTATTAAATTATTATTACTTAATTTTTATGAATTTATTATTATGAATTTATTGTTAAATTATTTTTAATTAATTATTATTAATAATTATTAATTTATTAATTATTAAATTATTATTAATTTATTAATTATTTAAGTATTATTAATTAATTATTATCAATTATTATATTATTATTGATTAATTATTGTTAATTGATTATTATTAATTTATTAATTATTAAATTATTATTAATTAATTATTATTAATTTATATTATTAATTTATTAATTATTAAATTATTCAAAAAATGTTTTTGCTTAAGATTCAATGAATGAAATTAAGATTTGATAGAATTTCTGTTGTCCAATTGCTTTTAGGCATGGTACCTTTTTGGTACAAAGTGCTAAGTGGGGTGGGTGAGGATGTAATGTGTGTGTGGGGAACAGAGACCAACAAAAAGGTAATGCAGCAATAGTGTGAGTTGGGGGAATCACAAACCTAATGCAAAGACCAAGGTGTTAATACAGGTGAGAAGGAATCAAAGGACATAGTGTGTGTGTGTGGATGGATTATGTATGTCAGTCATGTTGAGGGAAGCATTGCTCAAGGATCTAGTTATGCGTTGTGGCAGGACAATGATGTCAGATGCAGGTAGTGTAATAGAAAGAGAAGAAGAAGGGTTAATTAAAACGGACAATTTTTCTTTGTACTCACTTTTTGGAGTCTCCCATCAAACGTATGCCCTTTCTCATGACAAAACTCTGCTGCTAAGCTATGAAAAAGATAGAAAGTCAGTAAAAGCATGGCAACAAATTTTAGATTTTGGTGACAGAACCATCTGGAAATATAATAAGAAAAATAGACAACTTGTTCGAGAGGAGTTGTTAATATAAGAGGGGACAAAATTCACTCATATATACATTTCTTATAGCACTTACATTTATACATATAGAATTATTATACAATTACATACATAAAGCAATATTTATAGTTTTTCAGTTAGGCTTCATATCCATTAATTTCTTGGAACATTGAAGGTATGCATCGTCTCTCCTTGATTTCAGAACACCATAAATTAGACTAGGATTTGTTTAACAAGTCAAATGCTTGTGAAACATGATTGACTAATGAAAATCAAACAATACAAAAGTAAATATACCAGAATTTTCTTCTATTTTTCCATATCTCATTCTCTGATGAAGCTTTAATATAAGTAAATGTTGCCATACATTCATCGAAGTTAAGCAAAGTCAAGCCTGATCAGTATGTAGAATACCAGATGTAAGCTTGGATATACCGTTAGCATCCTGACTCTATAGTTTCATAGAAGGACACCTCTGGGAATCTCTCTGTCATCAACAAGTGACTGTTTATACTTCTCAATTTTTTTTCATTATGTATGCGTACATGGATGTGTGCATTCATGCATGTGGGCTCATCTGCATGCATGTGAACATGTGCAGCATATTGTGGTTATTTGTCCTTTTCACTTTACACTTTTTTTTCCCCCTGTTCTCTCTTTTTCCTGATGATAAGAATATAGTTTTAAGGTATGCAATATTTATGGGTAAAAGTGCTCAATATTAGAGATGGGTGAGTGTGTATGTAAATATAAGCGCAAACACTGGTCAACACTGACTGGCAACAGACTGTTTCATGCTTCAACACTATCTTCAGACATGACCTGAAGATTGCACCAAAGCATGAAACAGACTGTCACCACTTGGGTTGACCTCAGTACTCATATATATATATAAAATTATTTTTAAAAAATATGATTCCATTTTTAAAAAATGATTATAATTTAGGCTCTACTTATGTATTGAGCACTGTTTTTTCAAAAATAAAAAAAAAATACTAAAAAACTTTAGATCATTAACCTAACAGTTCTTTTCTATTTTTCTATATTTGCACACACACACACATATATATATATATATATATACTAGCCGAGGCACCTGGCATTGCCTGTATGTACATGGCTGCAATTGTATAACTGCATTCCTTGTATACCTGCACTCCGCTGTCTAGAAATATCTACTTGTGTCTACGCTTGCATGCATCATCTGTTGGTAAATTAAGCTACTCCCCCACCCTCATCTTTGTGATGGTATGTCCTTTGCAAGTGTTTGATTGTTCTTAATAAAGGAATTCCATCAATAAAATCTTCTTGTACAGTCGTTGCCCAGGGTTAAATTGTTTCAATGTTTTAGAGATTCAATAAATTTCCTATGGCCGTAATAACTTTCAAATACTATGGCATTGTTCACAAATCTAACAATGGAATAAAAACAGGGATGAAACATCAGAGTTTGATTCAACTGTAAGTGCAAATGAATGAATGCCCACCCTCCTTCTTTGCATGTTTACTGCAAGAGGTTCTTCAGGAATTTTTCCTTTTTAACACTTCAATAATTCTTCTCAAACAAAGTTCGGATCAAAGGTTGTTCAAATGCAAATTTAGGATGGAATCATATGAAGAAACTATTGGCTAAATGGCAAAAAACCTAGTTTGTCACAAATTTTGTCCATTTAACTGAAATAACCTAAATCAAACATAACTGCAAGACAATTTGTGTGTCATATATAATTTACATGGTAACTTTGCAAAGCATCGGATGAAAAACCAGTGAGTTATGGCTGAAAAACAGGCTTTTTGAACAGTTTTTCATGGACTTTTTGCTATACGCAGGAAGCTAGCAGAACTAAAATCACACTATCTTATTTCCTTTATGACGGCAAATTTTTTGCGACATCTTTGAAGAAAATCAGACAAAAAATGTGGAAGTTATTCAAGTTTTTATTTTAAATAAACCTGATTTTTTCTGTTTTTAGCAATTTTTTGTGTGAAGCCAATGTCACAGGAAAACTATCAAGTGCTCTACATAAGACGTTATAACATGAGCTGATGTTTTGCATTAGCTGCAAAGAACATCAGCTCATAAAAATTTTGTTCGCATGCAACTTAGCCTTTGTTTTTGCAAAAAGTCATACTCACCATCAGTTTTATCAATTTTTCTGCCAAACGTGAAAAAATTTTCTTGACCTAAGTTGATAAATTTGCAATATGTGAGCATAATTTCATCAAAATTGGTCAAGAAGTGTGGACATGCACAAATAGCATACACACACACACACATCATCTGTTTTATATATATATATATATATATATATATATATAATATTTATTTGAAAATTATAACAAAAGCATGTTATAGTATCACTACTAAAATAGCTATTTTGTTTCAACACATGAAGTGTTGAAAAAAAAATGACTATTTTATTTCTTATTCAAATTTTTTTTATTTTTTTTAATATGCCTTTAAGGCAACAAAAATGATAAAAATATAAAGCAAAAGAAACTAAATGAAAAAGGTTGGACTATCTACTCAAATTATAATCTACTATAAAGTAATAAAATATTATTAATGATTATCAAAACATTCATCAAAATGTTTCATATCATTTGAAGGCAAAAATTAGAAATTTGAATCAGTAAATTAAATTGAATCTAATCTTTTCATATTGTAAAACATAAATAAAAATAAGCAAATACGAATGGAAATAAACGTAAAACAACATGTAGATATTTCATAGAACAACTTGTTGTGTATTAAATACGTGGGGTGTGTTGGTTAAAGAACAACAATCATTTGCAGCAAACAAGAAAATCGCAAAAGCAAATTAAATGTAAGGGAGATAACTCAAGCAAAAAAATTCTACTTTTGGAAGAGTTGCTTCTCTTACGACGCACTCTATAAATTAGTGATTCTCAACGTGAGTTCGAGAAATATTTAAACAGACGTGGATACACAAGAAGCAGAGTAATCATTAGTCAGGATTTATATTTTCTTCTACATTTTATTTTTGTAAATAAAATTCATATCTTCTTTACATGGAAATTCTATTTGTGATTATGTGGGTCTGAAAATAGGTCAAAAGAAATAAAGGGTTGAGAAAAACTGCTCTAAGAATGACTGTTTTTTATTGTAAATTTTTGTTTTTTTTAATTAATGCAGGTGAGGGGGAAGAGGATTTTTCATCATGGTGAGGTAGCAGGAGGGAAGAGGATACCAGGTGACAGGGAAGAGGGTAGCAGGTGAGACGGACGAAGATACCAGGTGAGGGGGAAGAGGATAGCAGGTGAGGCAGAAGAAGAAGATACCAGGTGAGGGGGGAGGATAGCAGGTGGGGGAAGAGGATACCAGGTGAGGGAAGAAGATAGCAGGTGAGGCGGAAGAAGATAGCAGGTGAGGGGGAATTATTGAAAGACAATCAAATATTTAGAAACATTCATATGCCAAAAATAAATATGATTTCAAAATTTAAAATATGATTATGGATTACTTGTATGCATGATTCCCAATATTAGGTATAAATAATTATTGACGAATTTTATCATTGTGATATTTTTGCATTAGATCAAGTCTTAAGAATATAGTAACTAGGGTTCACAAATTGGAGGAGAGAGTTATCAATGATAATGTTCTGACTTCGAATCTTCAGTTATCTCCCTTTAATCCTCACTTTTTTAAATGTACTTTTTATTACACAAAATTTGGTGAGGGGTGAGCAAATTTTCATTTGAAAAATACAACCTAGAGAAAAAATGTTTGGGAACCGTTGACTTCAAAAATAAAAAATAAAGAGAATCTTGCTGCTGTTGACATCAGTCAGTTATGTGCCATGCATGATACATGCTTTGGCAATCATGTATCTTTTGATACACGACTAACAAGGTAGATTTTTCCCCACAGAATTTTGCCATTTCTTTCTGTGGTAGACCAATTGCCATCCAAGGCTATAGAACCCAGTCTGTCCTGCTATTTAACCATAGCTGGAGGGAGAAAAAGTGGATTCATACCTCTCCCAAGGATATTAATATGTAAGTAAATGTAATGGATTCGACTGGAATTTGAACTCAGTTCTCCTGATTCTCAATCTGAGACGCTATCCATTACGCCACTATACCACTGATATCCAGTTTCATTTTCATTTATTAAAGAGAGTAAATATAAAAAAATATCATTTTTCTGAACATCTAAATACAAAAGATAAGATCTGAATAAAAAAATAAACGGGATTATAAATCCAATTCTTGCTAATGAACTTATGTAAAAAGAGGTCAGAACAAGGATGAAAAGGGTTGGTAAGAAAAAACAAACACAGCTAAGAGTGACAATGGATAGGATGTTGTGGAGAGCCAGGATCACTCACTCAATGAAGGGAAATGACATATAAAATAAGAATGATTTGAGCTCATCAAAAGTATTCTAAAAAAATTTTTATTAACTTTTGACAGTTTCTCAATAAATTTGATCCGGATGTGCAATACAAATAAAACTTATGCACAAACTGGAAAGAATGTAATAAAAAAAATTTAAATCATTTTGTTGGACAATTCTAATAAAAATTGTTTGAATGAATTCTCACTGCTGGAGCATATATAAAAATTTTATTTTTATTACTTTAAAAATGTTAGTCATCAATAAATGTTTAATTGTTTAAGTTTTTCTTTTATATACATGTTCTTTTGAGATTAGTATAATTTTAAGAAAGCCAGATGAGATGTGGAAAAAAATTGTTACACATGTGTATCATTTTGGGCTCAGCAGTTAAAAGTCACTAAAATTCTTAAGGATCCGTTTCAAGTTTATGGAAAATTATTTTTTCATATTTTTTGGCCAATAAGAGCCGTGGTCTGAAGCCCTTGTGAAAACTGAATGGAGACTTCTGTGATTGACTTTTTTGAATAAATAAAATTCCAGTCAGTAGATGAGGAAGAAGGCATTTTGACAACAAGGGGACAAGGCAAATTCACATCAAGATGTTACTAAACAAAAAACCACCTTAAATAGCCAGGGAGTAGCAGAAATTATTGCTACATCTATAGTCAACTTTGACAGGATTCAGTCCTTTTAGGTAATCCAGAAAAACAAATCAACATTAACTCACCCAATTGCAGAGGAAAGTTCATCAGTTGAGCCTAACGCATCAAATATGGTGTCATCTTTTGGTCGTCTCTCACCTGTGAATGTGGAAGATCGACCTAAAAAATGAGATAAAAGTTTTCAATTTCTATAACAAAGATACAGTGTCAATAATGCTTACAGTTTCGACTTTTTATGAATTTCACACATAAAACAATAAAAATGTATAATTATTTACTGATGTAAATGTATCAGTTGTTAAATATATTTAAATCGACTGAAGAAGACATTATTTACTTTCCATTATATGATTATATATTTACATATACTATTTTAAATCTTTGTGTGTGCTTGGGCAACAATTCCCACTTAATATGCGTTTCATCAAACAAGACTTACAAGGTGCTTTTATTTAGTTTCTTAATTATATTTTCCTTGTATGCATACAAATATCTAGAAAAGAGAACATATATTCTTTTACATGCCATTTCCATTCAAGATGTGAGCGATCATGGTCCTCCACAGCCTTCCATCATTTGTATTCCTTAGCAGCAACTGTTTTTTTACCAAGCCTTCTGTCCTCCTCCACTCTGCCATTTATTCTTGTCCTGGGTAAGACGTTAAACTACATCCAGCAGCAAGGCCTCTGATCAAGAGCTTTTGAGGAGTGTGGAACCACCTCTTAATTGCTGGTGTTCCCAGGTCCACCCTGACCCAGGGTGGTAGCACCTGTTAGAGTCCCAGCTATGGGCAAATAGTTAACTATTACCAGCAATACTTTTTTGAAAAACATTATTACCAGCAATACAATTTTGAAGGAAAAATATTACCAGAAACAGATTTTTGTCAAAACAAAATATTACCAGCAATAAAAAATGTTGTCAGCATTGAATAACCCATTGAGGTTGATATGCTGTAAAAATAAACCAAACCAAACTAAACCATTTGCCATCCATTCACCTAAGATCATCATGTATGTGGACCACTGCTTTCTCCTGTCCTTTGATATGCCCTGTGAGGGTCAAATTCTCCAAGCCTTACTTCCTCATTTTATGCAAAGAAATTTCAACTGTCTCTTTCTGATTCTTAATATGTGTGCTTTTTGCTCATATGTTCTGTCCATGGTATTCTCAGCATCCTTCTGTAGAACCACATTTCTGTTACTTCTAAGTTTCTCAATAAAACTAAAGAAAGTAAATTCCTCTGATGGAATCAACAGACACAGATCCATGACCAAGGCAAGCCTTTAAGTCAAATGACATTAGCTGTGGTCTAACTTGGAGAGGGATGGGCTTCGCCAGGTTTATTTGAATGAATACGTCTCTAGCATAATACAAATACGTGGAGGGAACTGGTTAGGTGCTCAACTACACAGTGACCCTAAGAACACACCTCATCATGAGACTGATGATGAAGATGACATAAGTAGTTGATGGATGTCAGTTATCAGTTATCCCCTGTTAATTTCTCTCTGAAAGTTCTCCACTGCCTTAACCGGGTATTGAACTCACACTCTTTGGGTCCTATCACTGGATCTAACCAACGCCTTTATCCACTGTGCCATGTGTCCTTGATAACTGACATCCATCAAAAATGGCACGTGGAACTAGAACAGTCTACCCCAGTGAGTGAAATAAAGGGTTCAGTTCGAAATTCCAACCACTTGAAGAAGGCCGGAGTGTACAACGGTCGAAACGTTGTGATAAATATGGCGAGAAAGATGGGGACAATAGTCTGAATAATGTAAATAATTGTTGAGATGTTGTGAGTTTCCCGCGCGTCGGTGTAAGAGTCACGACAAACACAGGTGTAGAGGAAAATACTGGTATATTCATAAAAGCAATTAACAATAGAGTGATTAGTAGAACGAAGGTTGGTTAGTACGAAACAATATCCAAAGTCTATAGTCCAACGGTATGTACCGGGTAAGCTTATCTGGACTGCTAAGATATTTAGCCACCCCCCCACGAGGGCGTCATGCGGCACAAGGCCTTTTTAATGTGGGCATTCCCGAGCCATTAGGCTCGGCCAAAAAATAGCCCATTTGAACCCGTATAAACGGGTTCAGGGCAATTTAACCTCCCGAAGGAGACTCCGCCCTTGGCGTAGCCTCCTTCGGGTTCCTCTCGCCCGTTTGGAAGAGTTGAACCGAAAAGTCGCTCAGAAAGTATCTGGGCTGCTAACACTGACTCTCTCCCCAGAGCTGACTTATATAAGAGGGACCAGTCCATTACTAGTTAGGTGGGTGCGCCCCAACAATAATGTACATAATACCTCATCTCAGAAATATAGACAGACTCTGCAGGACTAATAATATTGCTGATTTTTTGGATTTTATCAGGGAACTTTACTGTATGTATGTATGTATGTATGTTAAGAATTGTTGAAAAAAAAGAAGAAATTAAACTGGTAGAGGGCCTTAGAAATGTCATTAAAAGAAACAAAACAATAAAAAAAAAAAAATGAGATCTATACCTTGAACGAAATAATTATCACTGACTTGGCAATTATTAACCAGGCACACAATCCTGGAAGTAGACAAAAACTTGAATTAAATCAGTTAAACTCAATGGAATAAGCCTAATAAACTTAAATAGTGATGCAATCTCATCACAATATTTTGACAAATACTCCACAGGCCTCATTGAACAATTAGATTACCATAATTATTTTTGCTACTTAATAAGAATTTTCTTTTTCTTATATTCTTCCACATTCAGTAACTCTCTGCATGCTAGTGGCTTTGTTCCCTTGTTTGGGGTGAAATGATTTTAAAAAATTCCACATTTTCTTTGTCCATGATACAAATCTGTGCAATGCATCTCCTTAAAATATTTTGACTTGATGACCGTTTACCAGGCCCCCCCAGTCCTGGAGGTAGACAATGACTTGAATAAATCAGTTGAATAAAAGTGAAATAAACCTAATTGACTAAAATAGTGATGTAACCTCATTACAATATTTTGAAAAGTATTCCTCAGGCCCCATTGAACAATCAAATTACCATAATTGAACTATTTTATCTACCATAGTCATGAGGTTGAATATAATTGCTTATTGGTGTTTCTAGCACAATAATAGGTGAGATTATCTTATTTAATTTATGAGTTGTTAAGGATCGGTAATTATGTTGGCCCTAACATGGTATCTCGACTTCAGTCATTTCCTTTCTGCTGTCACGTGGCTTCCCTGGGTCTTTTCTATAAATATTTTTATGGTAATTATTCTTAATCAGCTTTCATCCATTGTACATTGAATGCATTAATTTTAGTGCACTACTAGGCAACTAGGTCACATCGTTTTCCTGTTGAACTAGCCAGAAGTTCTAGTCTTATATTCTTGCATGGAAATCTCTTCTAGGTTCCTGCTTGCCACCTACAATCTTCAAAAAAATTAATTCATCTTCAGTTACCATTTTTCTATCTTTCTGGATCCTGTTCTTTTATTGTCCTTTCTCCTCAGTAAAATTTTCTCATTCTCTTTCAATCCCAGTAGACCCCCTGGCATTTTAGTGGCATTATCATCTTGCTTGCTTGGAATGATTTTTTTTAAAAAAAAAGAATTCATTTATTGCCACCATAATTGTCAGCACTGTACGTGTATTTATCAATTCAATTAAGCCAGCAGTTTTATTCAAGTAGTCTTCCTCCTGGGTCATGTGCCTGTTAAAATGTCAGCCAGGCTTTAATACTCATTAAAAATAAGTCTTTAAATATTTTTTTCATTCATAGCTGTTTTATTGTTAAAGGTCATAGAATCTGTATTGTTTTGACAGCTGAGGAGTTCAAATGGAGAGAAAAAGAAAATAATTTGATTGTTTCTGCTAAAATTTGAAGCTATCTTTTCATTATTATTTTCCTTACACACTCGACAACACAAGAGAAGTTTAAAATGGTAGGGTAGGGTAGGGTAGGGTAGGGTTATTAACTTAATCTCTAAACATGTTCTGTTTGACACACTCAGCCCCTGATGAAATGAAATGTAATATAAACAAAAATAACTATTTACATTGTTCAGATTGTTGTCCTCGCCTTTACTGCCATATTCACATTTCAGCCATTGTATTCTCTGACCATCTTCAGATTATATATGTTAGAATTTTGAACCAAACCCTTTATATCGTTCACTGGAGTAGATTGTTCTAGTTCCACATGCCATGCCTTTTTTGGATATCTCAGTTTCAGTTATTTCCTTTTAGTAACTCAAATCTCCAAATTTTTGTTCACCCCTGCTGTAGGTATTGAACTCTCAACACTTTGCATCAAGTCACTGGATTACTTCATCCAACAAGCCATGAGGCAATGTAAATAGTTACAGTACCTCATCTCAGAAATACAGACAAATCCTGAAGAAGGCCAGAGTGCACAATGGCTGAAACATTGTACATATGACAATAAAGATGAAGATATCTTATGGTTCCTGCAAGTATCACAGCTGTCATTATATTTTCAATACACAAATCCTAGTCATTGTAGACCGTCTTTTTTGACAAAGTCAACTGTTTCCCTTCATGATGAACGGTTTCTCATGGGGCTGATTATACTAAGATGGGAATGGCACATCTTTCTGCAATTAGGTACAATTGGATTGTTTGATATTCCCCACATGAGGTGATTTGGGATTTTATTGTGTATTAATTTTTTCTCTGTAATAATAAATACATTGAGCATTTGTGAATCAGTTTTAACATTTATATTACTAGGATCCACTTGGAGATTATATATATATATATATATATATATATATATATATATATATATATATATATATATTTCATCAATGAAGTGAGGAACATTAGAGGGTGCAGAATCTCATTGGAATGACCAATGTTGTTTTTCAAAATGTTTTTCACTCAAGGCAACAGCAATGACTCAAGAATGTCCTTCACATAATTTTCTCAGTTGATTTTAACCCCTGCCTCCACAAAAACTAGAAGACTTTTTCTTGTCACATTTACAGCAGCCTACATCATCATGGAGTTCGCTCTTTGTCTTCAAGTAACTGTCCTAGGTTCACTGTCTCCTGTTTGAGAACAAATTTGATCGTGTTGTGGCTGTTAAAATGTTGGTCAATGTCAAATTCTCATCACTTAACACAAGGTTTGGGAGCATGCCTGTCTGAATGCACTTAAGGAGGACTTAGCATCTGGCTTATCATTTCTCTTGCAGATAACAATGGTTTCTTTTGGTTTTTGTAAGGGGATGTCTTAAGGTCTTAATGGAAAACGGTTGACATGGTTCCGATTGACACATTTACCTCTTTTGCAAGATTTCTGAGAAACATCTTTTGTAAGATTTCTGAGAAACCTCTTTTGCAAGATTTCTGAGGAACCTCTTTTGCAAGATTTCTGAGAAACCTCTTTGGATTTCTTTTCAGCTTCTCATGGGTGAATTTCTTGAGATCTGGGGTTTAAACAATTCAAAGACGACCATGACCATCCTTCAGATCCCTAGTTTTGTTGAATCTTTAGATGGTCCTCCAAACTAACATTCTATTCATTTTTAATGATTTGGCTTATATCCTTTGGGGAGTGCTTTGCTTTGTATATTTCTAAAATTGTGATTCTTTTAGTAAATTTTTAGCAATTTTCAAATCTAATGCCTGAAATGATAAAATATAGGTTAGTTCTATTAAACAAATAATATGATATTAAAAAAAAAAATTGTAATATAAGCTCTGGTAAAAAAAACAAAACATGATTTAGGTTTATACATTACTCATTTGTTGAGTGATTCAAAAGTAACTTGATCCAAAGAGTTGTGAGTTCAATACTTGGCTGCGGTAGAGAGAAAAAAAAACTTGGAGAGTTGAATTACTAAGGGGAATTAACTGAAACTGAGATATCCAAAAAAGGTATGGCATGTGGAATTAGAACAATCTACCCCCATGGAATAAATAAAGGGTTCAGTTTGAAATTCCAACATATATCCCCTGTAGAAGGCCAAAGCGGACAATGGATGAAACATTGTGAATATAGCAATAAAGATGAAGACAATAGTCTGAATGATGTGAATAGTGTAAATAAATCATATAAGATCCAAAGAAATTATAAATTTTTTTAAACTGAATTAAAATTAATCTGAGTTTAATGATAAATATTGAATATTCTGTATATAATCTGAAGATTGCATTCAGGTTTGAAACAGACTGTCACTGCTTGGTTTTGACCTCAATGTCCACTTTCATATTAATATCTTTAAATTAATTCATCTTTTCTTCTTTGATACAAAAAAGGTAACACATTGAATTAAAGAGAAAAATCACCTTTGTCCCCTGTTTTTGTATAGATTTTAAGAGTTTTGCCTTCTTTGCTGGACCTGGAAAAACAAAAACAAAAATCCTTATGAGTAATTAGATTTCTTCTTCATGCTGTTGAGAGGAGAAAAGGATTTTATTATAATCAAAATATTAATTTACATAAGGAACAGCTGAAATAATACAACATAACTGTTATGATGTTGATTTGGGGTTAGTAGAGACAAACGCCAAATAACATGTAACAATAAAAAGGGTTTTAATAGGTTGGTAAAAAGGTACAGAAATCGCCTGAGTAGTCAATAACTAGCTCAGCAAAGAACTTCTCTGTCTATCTGTCTTTTGACATGCCACTACTTAAAGTCTTTGTTTGCAGACAAGTTCATCTTCAAGAAGGGTGGTAGGTTTCCGACACAACAATTACACAAATGTTGATGTAGTAGTAGAAAGTGTAGGACTGCCAAAGTGAAGACAAAACAGAGAGAGAGAGAGAGAGAGATGAAACAAAAAGAAAGATGATATGAGAGAGAGAGAGAGAGAGAGAGAGAAGACGAAACAAAAAGAAAGATGATATGAGAGAGTGATTTATTTCACCCCAAGCAAGTCAATAAAGGGGTTACTGAGTGCAATAAGACAATATTAAGGGGAGAAGACAATAAAAGAACAGGAATAATGGTAACAAAAGATCACATTTGACATTGCTTTTAAATTTTTGAAGATCAAAGTTGGTTGGAAAGCAAAATTGATTGCTCTTTGTACAAAATTGGTCTTTTCATTGTGGTTATAACAAAGACACTGCCACCCGGATATTTCTTGCACAAGGCAGAAAAATGAAAGAACAGAAAATAAGAAGACAGAAGTTAACAAAAGTTTTCGAAGATCAAACTTGACTAAAGAAGTAAGAAGCTGAAAGAGAGTTCAACAAGTAAGAAGTGTGAGAAAAGAAACTGTTAGCATAGAACTTATGGTGACATCTAGCCATTTCAATTGTAAAATGATGAGACCTATCTGCCAATCTAGTACTGCACTTAAATTTGTGAAGTTGAGGTACCAAAGAGGAAAGCTCATCAGAACAATTAACAGGATATTATTTATAGAAAAGGCACAAGGAAGCTATGTTACAGTGGTTGGAAAATGACTGAAGTCAAGATGTCAAGTCAGGACACATAGCACCAGACCAGATGTGGCAGCAATATTCAAGGCAAAGAAAAATGGTTAACTTAAAGGTGTATGATAGATTCTGACGAGAAGAATTGTCTTGAACAATACAGTGAAGCAACTTTCCTAATTGCAGATCTAGCAAATAATTCAATATAACTTTTCTGCTTCATGTCAGTGGAAAATGTTAGTCCGTGAAGGTGCAATGAGTCAATCTCCTGGAGGTTAGCATCAGTCATCATGCTGATGGAAGGCAAAAAAAAAAAGGTTCTAGGTATCTCCAATAACTTGCTAAAAAACAGCATACCGCGATGAAAAAAGTCCCCAAACTTGATGAAAACATTTTTTTATTGTCTAAATATTTATGTTATTATTAAGAGCAAAGATCAATTTTTTTTTATTATATTTTTACATTTTTTTACTCCTTCCTAGCACGTCCGAAATTTTAGTTGTTTTTTGTTTTTTAGCGTCAGCGAAATTGAAAAAAGCGGTATTTAAAAACAATATTTGTAGTTTCATAACCGAATAATCATACCGTAAACATCGCTTTTTTATCAAATAATCTAGCTATCTGCAACATTAATTTAAGAAACTACTTCATTAATTCAATAACTGTGATACAGTGTAACCCGGATATAAGAGAGTTGTCGGGACGAGAGAAAATCTCTCTTATATCCGGGTTTCTCTTATATCCGGGTTACACTGTAACAATTTTTTTAGCATTGTAAATTTTAAAATGTTTACATTTTTTTACAACACTAACACTTATTCAAAAAGACCGGAGTGAAGTATTTCACAAGTTAGAAAGATCGAATACAACTTACGACAT